TGCCTTCTACAACCTTCTTCATCTCTGCTGGCCTTGATTTGTCTTCCTGAATCTGAAGATGAGGCACAGCAATGTCTAACGTGGAATAGTTGACAGGTCTGCGGTTGCCACACGTTTCTTTAGTACAAAGCATTCAGCCGGTGGGATCTAAATTACATAATTTACTGGATGGAAAATGGCTTTTGGTTAAGCACAGAGTTCTGATTCCTTGGTGAGTGACTTTAATCAACACGGCACGTCTAAAGGAAGAAGAAGGACTGGAAAAGCATTAGACGCTGCCACCGTGAAGTGTCATGCATTGCGTGTACAAAGAGCGGGTGGTTTGGCTTTGGTTTGAATACTGTGTTTTTCGTAAATAAAAATGTTCCCTCTGTCATCGCACTCAGAGTGCTGCTTTAGCTGAAAGATCCCTCCCCACCCCCAACCCGGCTCTCTGCGTCTCAATCCATTCTCGTTCTCAAGGCTTTGGCCCACAGAGCCTCCTTTATAAATGAACCCATCCAGATGTTTTCACAGTTTTCTGTGTGATCAAGTTGACCTTGCTTCATTCTGCCCCGTATTACAGTTTCCCTTCCAGTTCTCTTTCTCATGCCAGTGAGAGGCCCTTGCGATGGGAACTGTATCCTTAGTCTTGTGTATCTCCTGCAGGCTCTGGAGAAGAAGCCCGGGACACCAGAGGCATCTGAGAAATGCCTGGAATGTGAGTGTGTTGACGTCTAATGAAGGCTTGTCTGTGTCTTTAAGGACACATTTGAGTTGTTTACATAGTCAGGGAAACAAAACATAAAGGTAGGTGTTGATCTTGAAATTTAAACCAATTCTAAGCATAGTGTGAATGTGTTTTACCACTCAGGCAATGTTCTTCAGGTATCCGAATATCCTTGTGTGGTTTCCTGTCAGCTATGAGATTTATGTCGACGTCATCAGAAAGCGTCATTCTGCTGTACACCTACCTTGCAGCTTCATGATGCATGTGTCAAGAGTCCCCCGGGTAATTAGAGCATTAAACAAGGAGACAGCACAGGACTTGGGGGGTAGTGGCATTTATTTACTTTTAAAATAAGGAGATCCATGATTGTGACTCTTTTCCACTTCTCTGAAATCATTGTCGAGAAACACAGAAAGAATCTCTCTGCAAAAATGAAGTCCCAGAGTCAAAGCATCTTCCAGAGTGCCTAACTAAAGCCCTTTTGCTAAGGATTTCTTAGTGTCCACCATTGCAGATCCTTAGGGCAAGGTGGGTAAGCTCTTTCAAGGCCCTCATTTAGCAGCAGGAGAGTTTACAAGCACAAGGGTGGACACAGGTGGAAACAGAGATACCTTTCAGGTCTGGGGCAGGGTAGCCCTTGTCGAGCAGCCAACATGAGGACACATAGGAATCAGGCACACAGCAGGGAGGGGGGCAAGTGACACAGCAGGCGGGCTGAAGGAGACTGATCCTGTGTGGACAGGTGCTGGGCAGGCAGACTCCACATGGACCATATACGTCTGATGAGCAGAGGGTGGTGGCCGGGCCCATCGGGACGCTGCGGCATCCTTGGAGATAGGAACTGCAGCCAGTCATGGTGACGGTGGGTCAGGTTTTCTTGCTGAGGAAGGCGTTCTTCCACAAAGTTGCCTTGGGAGGGACTTTTATACCTACCTATTTCAGGGAACGTGGCCTCAGCCTTCAGCTGCTTCCTTGTTGATGTTTGCACAACCCCACACAAATAAAGCAGTATCTTCTTGTATCAGCCATGGGACACGCACTCCTGAAGTTTTATTTGGTTGTGTTGCTTCATTCAAACTTGCTTCCTGCTACGGTTTCAAAATGGTGTCAGTGTCGTTCTCTTTTTATTCAATATATTAACCTGCTTGGGTTTATCCTTACTTTCTTCTTGTTCATCCCCTAGAATTTCTTCCTATAAGTCATCTACACTAAGTGTAAAGTATCAAGAGTGATGTTTTCAAGAACTAAGAAAGCATCCTTCTCAAACCATGCACCCCTGATACATTTGGGAAGCCCAAACCTGTAGGACTCTTCTTTTTTCTATCAGATGCACAGTGGCATTTTTGCATGAATCTGAGCGAATTAATAAATATTGAAAACACACAACATGAATGTGCTTGGAGATGACAGAACTTGCTAGAAGATTTTCTACATATTAGCACTGCATCATCTAGACATGCAAGTACATATGAAGATGAACAAGCCTTTAGTTTTACAAAGGATTGGTTACTTTAATTACAAATTGAAATAGATGAAAATAAGGGCTCTTGGGACGACACTTGGTCTGAAATATACGAGTATGCGTTTTCTTGCAAAGCAACCTGAAGAGTTTTTGCTTTTTATGAAAATCAAACTGCTGACCTGTCACTTCTGCTGTTCAAAGCTACATTCGGTGCTGACAATGATCAGTCAGACAGACAGACACCATTTCCAAGTTCCTTCCATCTGGTGTAATTGTTAGAATGCTAACGCTTCACGGTTTAAGTTAGTGTGTGACCACAGTAAAGGTGAGTCAGTTCATTCATTGGAAGTGTGTGTGTGTGTGTGTGTATGTTGATGTCACAATATACCAATACTTATAAACTGATGAGCAGAGAAATGAAGTAATTAAAAATACTTAAGAAAGCCATCTGGGAAAAGATGCATGTTTCTCAAAATGAAAGAATGTCTTTTTGGAGAGAAAGCTGGGAACCACTGGTGGAAGTCACAGTGAGAGCTCTCCTGGGACAACTGATTGCTGTGGATGAGGACAACTGATTGCTGTGGATGAGGACAACTGATTGCTGTGGATGAGGAGGGTCTTTATTCTTTGGGTTATCCAGACCTTATTGCAGTCCTGAGACATAAGCAGAAGAGGGAATAATAGCAAGGAAAACTAGGTTGTAGACTAGGCTACAGATAGCAAGGAGACAGGGAGGGAGAGATGGAGGGAGGGAGGGAGGGACAGAGGGAGAGAAAGAGGCCACAAAGTCCCCAAGGTAAGAAAATATTCAACTATACAATTAGATTTCAGCAATCTGGGTGCTTTGTGGAGAGCTCTTGCTGCATTTAGATTGTTCATCAAAACTAAGGAAATAGCATAGTGGTCAACGCAGAGATTTTTTTTTCCCAAGAGGAATGTATATTTTGTGCTGTCAGAACTTTGTTGCCAGTTCTGTAGTATAAAGAATATTTCACTTTGGCCTAATGCATTATGGATATTTCAGTGACGTGACAGTGTAAGTCACTTGAGCCAGACAACTTCTAAGCACAGTTGAGGCTACTGTGTACTCAGTGGGATCTCACTTAAGGGGACAAGAAACAATAAATGCTGATATTCACACAAAAATGATTATTCTGGAAGATATCAACTATCCATACCTCTTCCCTAGAACTCTTCAAGGGCAGGAACTTTTGCTTGTTTCCTTTTGCAACTAATACCTGAGCAATGAGTGCTCAGCTGATGTAAATATGTAACTTACAGCTCAGGGAGCTCAAACCATAAGAATTCTGATAAAGACGATGTCTGACCATGAAAACAGCTTCATGTCCAGTGTCTTTACCACAGTGTTGTTGATTTATATGTCGTGGGCCTTTGATTCTTCTATGTTTGATGCTATGTAGTTTCTGCTTTTGATACAGCTTGAACTATTTTATCCAAAATAGGTCATATGCACACACATGTATGCACACAGGATCACACTTACACACTTTTAAGCTTTTCCAAGCAAACCAGTTCTAAATGCTAAAGTTTTTTCACATTTACTATTTTCCCACTCTAAAGAGGAAAAAATGAAACACAGTACAAAATTTTAACTCCTATTTACTTAAATTTAGTAGCTTAGTTAGTGATGTCTTTTTCCCCCTGGACATCAGAGCCTGGAAGGGATGGCAAACTCTCCCCAGTTGTTCTCCAGAAAATGCCCGTCTCTGAAGCTAATTTACGAAAACAAAATAGAAAGAGGAGGGCACAGTCAAGTTGATTAGGGAGAAGATCACACTCTGCTGTTTTATTTCAAAGTCATGGCACGTTCTGGCATAATGAAGTCTCCAGAAGCTCTCCTGTGAGGAGCGCAGCTCTCCATAGACTCACCCGTGGGTGCCTTGGCTTGTTTTTAAGAGTTTGGAATTTCAAAGTAACCTCCATTGTGAGTCTGAAACTTTTGCTGACTATGAGGAGGGGGTAGAAATTATTTTCACATGCCAGCACAAGAATTATTTTTTTCTTAGTTAACCAAGGAAGGAATGAGAGTTAAATAAAAAAAAAAAGAACATTATATGTCTAGATTCTATGTGGCACAGTGGATAGCTCCAGAAATATTCATTAAATGGAAAGATCCTATAAAAAGAACCTGCTGGAGTTTTCAGGGCCCCCTAGCAGTGGGACCAGGATCTATCCCTAGTGCATGAGCTGGCTGTTTGAAGCCCATTCCACATGGTGGGATGCCTTACTCAGCCTTGGTGCAATTGGGAGGGGTGTGCTGCCTCTGCTGAATGTAGCAGGCTTTGTTGACTTCCCAAGGGAGGCCTTACCCTTCCTAAGGATGGGGGTGGATTGGGGAAGACAGGGATAGGAGAGGAGGGGAAACTGTGGTTGTTATTCAAATGAATAAAAATTATATATATATATATTTATATATACACACACACATAAATAAAAGATTTCTCACTGTGTTGGGGTGGCCCTTGGGCTGCATAACAAACTACTTTCAGGTAGAACTTGGAGTTCTACTTTCCCTAAGAGGAAACAGAGAAATAAACAGCTATGAGGCCAGGAATGCTAAGCCAGAATGAACTTTATTAATGAGTAGTCCAAATGGTAGCTCTCAAAAAGGAGAAACAGAGCCTAAAAGAGAGAAGGCAGCCATCTGTGCCCATAGGAACAAAGCATGGGCAGCTTAAGCATGGTCCACGGGCTTCTGTTCCTGGGTTCTGGGGTTAATGAAGCTGGGATTCAGGCAGAAACAGTTGCTGAAGAACAGGTGATGGGGAGGATGTTGAGAAGCCAGGCTCCTGAATCTGGGAGTAGGGCTTAACAGCAGGGCTCACAGGGACTCTCACAGCCAGGCTGGACGTAGGTGGTCAGGTTGATGCCGCTCAGGCCGGGAGTTGGGTGGCAAGAGTTGAGCAGCCAGCAGGTTGGCACGTACACTTCAGGTTGGCAGCAGGGTGGGGGGCAGGGGTCACAGCAGGTGGGCTGCAGGAGGCTGATCTCATGTGGGCAGGTGCTGGGCAGGCAGACTCCACAGCGGCAGGACTTGTCAGAGGAGCAGATGGTGGTGGCAGGGCCGGTGGGGACACTGCAGCAGCGGGCAACACAGCAGGCCATGGCTTTGGGAGTTGGGTTGTGGTTGGGTTGAGAGGAGAAGTCAGTTGATGTGTGAATGCTCCCGACGTCTGCCCTGGCTCTTATATACCCGCCTCCCTGGGCGTCAACCCAATGCCAAGGCATTTCCCCCATGTTTCAGTTTATGGCTGCTTCCATAAAAATCCATCTAATTACTTAAGTGTTTATTACTTAAGCCACATTCCATACCTCATAAAAGGGATTCGGGTTGTTTTGCTGTCAAATGGGGACTCCTCATACTGGCCAGGTGTCATTGCACAGACAGCTTCACCACTTTAGTCTTCAAAGGCACAGAGCCATTATCTTCCAATCATTACACATCACTAATAGTGGCATGGAATGGCAGGTATCTGCAGCACTTCCCTGTGCGCTGTGTCTCTTCTACAGATGAACACTTCACTGGCTTTTGGGTTTCTCTTCTTCCAGCAACCATGAGTTTCCATGAGACAGTTTAGGCTCTCTGACTGAAAAAGTAAGAGAAAAAAAATTATGTCTTGTGGCTCCAAGAAGTTGAGTCCAAAAAGAGGGATGGAGTCTATGGGAAGTAGGTTGGGGAATGTGCAAAGAAGTGGTTTTGTACAGAATTCTAGAAAATCATTTGTTTTTTATCCCTTTGTACATGTGTTGATCGAAGACTTGGGAGGGGTATGTGGATGGCCACAAAGAACTGTAAGTGTAACAAGGACCAGGGCCCTCATAACTTCATCTGACTGTGCTATGTGCTTAGACTTTTTATCACTTAAAGATGGGTTGTGCTGAGACTTAAGGATGAAAGGATACAGTATTCTTAGAGTGAGCCTCAGGAACAGGTGCTCTGGGGGGTCCCAAAAACGAGACCCTTAGTCAAATGTGGTGCATACCGACTTCCCCCCTTGAGGGTTTCCCAGAGCTTTCAATATGCCAGAAGGCTCTGGAAGTTCTCAGTAAGGTGTTAGAGCATAAATGTTCCGCCACCCTCCTTAACCACATACTCCTTTGTGTTTATTTTCATAACTGAAAAGTCAGTATTCTCTGGAGCATTCTGGCATGTGAAGTCAACGGTGTGTCTCCAACTCCATGTTTTCTTCTTACTTCACATGCCCTCCTGCTGATTTGAAGCTAGGGGAAGTGATTGGGACATATTTGTGTGACATAGGGGAGTGAGGAGGGAAGTATGGCTCCTGTCACAAAGGAAGGCATAGCTGGATGGGTTTCCTAGGTGAGGTCTCTATTGCTGTGGTAAACATCGTGACCAAGAACAACTTGGGAAGACAAAGGTTTATTGGGTTTACATAGCCCATGTCACAGTCCACTGAGGAAAGTCAAGGCAGGACCTTAAGGTAGGGTCCTGGAGATAGGGATGAAGCAGAGACCTTGGAGGAGTGTTACTTACTGGATTGCTCCTCATAGCTTGTTCATGTTGCTTTCTTATGAAACTGAGGACCACCTGTTCAGGAGGGGCACTGCTCAGAGTGAGCTGGGCCCTCCCACATTAGCCATCAATCAAGAAAATGCCCCACAGACGTGCCTATGGGAGAACCTGATGGGGGACATCTTCTAGGCTCAAGTTCTCCACTCCCAGATGAGCCCAGCTTGTGTCAAGCTGCCCAAAAGTATCTCAAAGGAACAATGAGGATGGTTAGAAAATCTTAACCTGGGAATTCACACCACACTGTTCAGTCTTGGGGAACCATTTTCTAGGTGACTCAGTTTTCATAGTTTATAGTAATATTTTTTAAGATAACTGCCACACTAATCCTCCACTAAAACATAGCCCTTATTTTATGTGTCTTGTGCCCCAGGCATAGTACTAAGTATTTAATATGCATTTTCTTTCCATATTCTGTAAGATTGGGATTATCACTATGACCCTTTTCCAGATTATAAAAAGAGAAACGATATATTATTGGGTAAAAAATTGCATAGCTAATGAAGAATGGCTTATATAACATCAATAGATCATGTATTGAGCTATAGACAATATATTATGCATAATATATTATAGTATAATATATGTGTGTGTATGCGTATGACCATACCGAGGAATTGAACAGAAAGCCTTACAAGGGCTCTCCCCTTGAGCTCTATCTTCAACCCTCAACTTCATATAATTGTAGATTTTATATATATTTTCATTTATTAATGTATTAAAATGGCTTGTGTTATGTCTGGTTGTAAGTATGCATCAATAAGCATTCAGATAGGGTCCTTGTTACAGTGTCCGTCACAGCGGGGGAAACTGGCAGTCACAAGATAAACCGGTGAACACATAAGAACTGCAGACAGTGCCAGTTGCCGTAAGGCAAGAAAACACGTTAACAGGAGAGACAGGGAGATGGCGGCGGAGGGTGGCTACTGTGATTTGGGCAGTCAGATTGCTCTTGCCAGGGTGGCTGGGAAACAGAGAAGAATTATGACAGGAGACAATGTTATAGCAGCCAGTCGGCTCCTGGTGAGGTAGGGTTTTCTAGGGTATTCTACAGCGTTTAGACGTTTATTCTTAGGGCACTGAAAAATTCACCGGATGGTTTATATATTTCAAACTTATTTTTAATTGACTTGTAATTGTACATATTTAGGGGGTTCCAGTGTGTCATTTCAATACAGGCATTCAATGTGTAATAGCCGGATCAGGGTAACTGACATATTTATTATCTCAGACACGACATTTGTTTGTGTTTGAAACATTCAGACTCACCTCTGAGAGCCACTTTGACATATTCAGTTAATTGGCAAGGACCATTATCCTCGGCCATGAAAAATTAGTACTTACTTATTCTACTCAGATGATTTAAAGCAGAGAGGGATAGGTTTCATGTATGAAGGAAAATGATCTGCCCAGATCTGGCGTGGAAACGGACCGAGTTTAGAGTCCAGGTGAGAGAGGATGGTCACTGATGCTGGGGGCGGGTGAGCCACTGGTAAGAGAGAGTAGAGTTTGAAAGGAGAGGTGGCATGTTTTGCTGAATGAGAGCTTGTGTGTACAGTTTGTAACCGAAGCCAAGGATCCTATCCAGGTCTCAGATCTACTCTTCGGAAGGGGCCCTGAGCAAAAGCTGCCTGACTGGTGGGGAGAGCAGTGGATACCGCCTTTAGCTGGGGGCCCGGCAGGACCACACCCGTGAGCAGGAAGGATCAGGGCTGGAGTGAGGCGCTGGAGGCTCGAGCACACGGATGGAAATTTTTGCTTACCACCTTCCAAATGGAGGCTGATGATGCTTTTTATGTGTGTTAGTCACTCTTTGTTGTGAGCCTGCCTGTGCCTAACCAACCACCACCTCCCAAGAACTCCGTGAATTTCCGGGTTGATCTTGGGTAAACCCTCCCACTCCAGCATCTCCTGAATCAGCAGCAATGCTTAGCAGCTTCCCACTCATGGGCCACACGGTATTTCCGAAGTTGTCTGGAGTAGTTTATCTCGTCACAGTCGTAGAACATAGAAATCTTTGAAGTTTCTCATTCTAACAAAAATGGCTGTGAGTAAAACCATTTAGGCCTGTCTTACGGAATCCCACGATCTTTGACATTTCTGATGAATGTCTTTATAGAGGGGGTGGAAAGGAAGCGCGGCTGTCTTCAGGGCTACTAGGAATATTAATCCTCTCCTTGCGGAATGCACACTTGGCAAAGCATACATGCAAAGGATTTTGAGCGTGGGTTTAAATGGTGGACACTCCTCTCCCAGCTGAATGGTGCTTATAGTCAAATTTGATGTAATGAATGGTTATAGTCAAGTTTGATGTAACTCTCTCTGTATATATTTTTAGATTTACTTTATGTGTATGAGTGGTCTGCTTACATGCATGGATGTGTAGCATGTACATGCCTGGTGCCTGTGTAGGTTGGAAGAAGGCACGGAATCTGGAAACTGGAGTTGTAGATGGTCGTGAGGCATCATGCAGGTGCTGGGAACTGAATCCAGGTCCTTGACAAGAGCACAAGGGCTCTTAACTGCCGAGCCATCTCTCCTGCCCCAAATTTGACTTAACCCTTGCTACTGTATTGCCACTCACTGAATTACCTTTGAGTTGTATTGCTTTTTAAGAGGAGTAGTAACGTTTCCTGAGGCCAGCTGGTATTCACTGCTGTGTGTGTGTGTGTGTGTGTGTGTGTGTGTGTGTGTAAAAGAGGCACCCCTCTCACTCTACTCCCTGTGGACTTATGTGATTTCATTGGACATTCTCAAGGCATTTGGTCACACGGCACATGCGATATTCTCACAAGCTTTACTTAACCAGCTTCCTCTCGCTGGAATTCTAAACAAGTTTTTGGGGGAACTGTAAGTTTCCTTTAGTTCCCGTGTATCATTGTGGCCTACAGAACATGCAGAGTGAAATGGAGAATCATAAACAGTAAAATAATATAGAAATATATACTCTTACTAAAGCTAAAGTGGATAGGAAGATGGACACTGAGTAATGGTTATTTTTATAAAAAAAATGTTTTATGTCTATAGAATAGTCTGCTGGTGCCTGCTGAAGCCAGGAGAGGACATCAGATCTTCCTGGATATGGTTGTGAGCTGTGGGTGTTAGGTGCTGGGAACTGAACGCAGGTCCTCTGGAAGACTTGGAAGAAAAGCCAGTGCATTTTTTTTGAAACAGGGTCTCTCTATGTAGTCTCTCCTAGAGTTCAATATGTAGACCAGGCTGGTCTCATAGAGATTCTCCTGCGTCCACCTCTCCACCTTCCAATTGCTGGGATTAATGGTGTGTGCCATATGCCCGGCCAGAAAATGCTCTTACCTACTGAGAGAAACATCTCTCCAGCCCCTGAATAATACAGTGTATGCCTGAGAGTGAGGAAAAAATGCTAGCGGGTAACTAAGTGAAATCTATTGTTGACATATTTAAATTTACAATTATTCTATGGTAGCCTTAAAATACTTAAATGTTAAACATCTTTATCTGTGTGTGTGTGTGTGTGTGTGTGTGTGTGTGTGTGAACCCGTGAGTGTGGGTGCCTGTGGGCATCAGAAGAGGGTGACAGAATCCCTGGAGCTGG